AGCCTTCGGTGAATGAGGGCCCACAGGTGTTGGAATTAGAATCCACTCCCCTGCCATAGGCTCAGGCTGAGTACTGCACCCCAAGACTGAACTTATCAATGACTAATACTGGGAAGGGGACCTAAGCACTTTCACTGATCTAAGTAGAATTAGCCATTATATCTAAAAAGTCATCTCCCATAAACCTAGAAATCCTTGTTCCATTGATCTCCAAAATCAGGAAAAGAAACATAGGCAAAGTGCAGCATTCCTTACTCACGGAGAATCCAGATGTGGGAATCTGTGTTTCTGACAATCAGACCAAGGGCCAAGTGATTCCAACGCTGGGACGCTGCTGACAATCCTTCAAAGACCCTCAGAGATTCCCAAACCTGCAGTGGTGTCAAGGGCCTCCAAGCAGTTTTCTGAGAACAGATGCCTCAAAAGCCTACAAAACCTTTCTGTTCTGATAGTTAAAAGAAAAACCTCCCTCAGGTGGATCTGTTTAGGCAGGTATGAAAAGCACTGGGCCAAATAACGCAAATTTATAACCTCACATCATCAAGTTTCTACAAAGCATTGCTCTTATCATTCACTTTGTATTCTCTCTCAATCTCTGTCTCTTAAAAACCTTTCGGTCCCCTTCAGAAGACACCCTCACAGAAAGACACCTCTGCCAAGACGAGGTCTTTACTCTGTAACTCTCTACAAATCCAGTAGCTGACCTCTGTCTTAATATTTAATCAATTCTCACACCAACAAGAGGCCAGAAAGACGGACTCAGACTATCAGGGGGCTGTTTCCTGCTCTACCACTTTGTAGCCATGTGGCCTTGGCTCTGTCATGTCACCAAGCTGGGCTTCTCATCACCTGTGAGGCGAGGAGGTTGGCTAAGGTCATCTCCAGGGCTTTTCGATCTCTAACTCTCTATTATTCATCCCGTGCACTATGAAATCCATTTCACTCCTCTACAATGCAGCATCAGCAGGTGTCAAGGACCCTAAAGTACATTAAGAACTCAAAGGAATGCTCCAGTGTCTGCCAACAGCCAGGACAAAGCATAAAACTGGGCATACGCCCAAGGAGGAAGCACGACAAACAACACAGCAAATAGAATAAGCTAGAGAGATTCTTGTATTTGTTACTGAAGACATTTCTTGTTTCCTCAATTCTCATCTATCAAAATAGTGACACACATTTGCTAACAGAGACACAGCCAGAAGGCACACACTTTGTTTTAGGGCTGAGACACACACTTTCCTAACCAGGTAGTTAGTTCTGTACCTTCAATATAGTGTCCTAACAGTACTATATAATTAAGGAAATACTGAAGTGAAAGGCGAGATTTCAGATTTTCCACAATGAATACTTACATTGGGTTCCTACAAAATTAGAATATAGCCATCCCAAGCACAACTTAGGAGGTAAAGTAGATGATTAAAGATAGACTAAGGAACTTGTGAACTGTCTTCAAAATAGATACGGAGAAAGTGCACGAGATGGCTAATATCAAACACGATAGGCAGAGTCCAAAGGAGCACAAATTCTTCCAGACATTTAAAAGACATGTTAATTGTAGCTTCTGAGGAGGGCAAACCCACTTCGCAAAGTGTTGCCACTGGAGAAAAACAGGATGGGACAGCATTCCATTCCTTTGTAAGGTGGGGAGATCACCACATATCTGGGGCCCAGTCAACACCAAAAGATAATCCCCACTATCCAGGACTCAGTTTTGGATATCTACCATTTATTAGCCTAGCCTGTTCACTACAAATATTGAATAACATAACTTGCCTGGTTATTGATCCCAAAGGCTAAATAAAGCCATTTTAATCCACAAAAGTAAAATATGTCAGTGGGCGGAATCAAAACAGAACTACTAGAAGCAGAGGCACCTTGTCCTGAGCTTTACCTACTCAACATTGTAACACAGACTTCGCTATTCTGTATGTTTCCTTTATGAGGGGTTTCCTATTTCATTGGGCCTAGCAGTTCAAGGAAGAATTTCAGATTAATTTGTCTGATAGTTGTTAACAAATTACTTCAAAAGCTTTTTATAGCAACATGTTCAAAGACAATCTAGTGTCAATAACATGTCCCCCAGGTGCTCTGATCAAATAAGACTGGGGAAGTGCAAGTAAAACAGGCTTCTTTGTTGTAGGATTTTTTAAAATAGTTTTTAATATGCTGATATTTGCAGTATGGATCTTAGAGATGTAGGATGAAGCACCTCTCTAACTTATGCCAATGAAACACTTACTTAGAGAATAAAGCTTCGGCACCAAAAAAAAAAAAAAAAAAAAAAAAAAAAAAAACAAAACTCAAGTTTAGGTTTAAAAAAGTTTTTTTTTACTTTAGCACCAAAGTTACCCACTGTGGACCAGAGGTTTTAAATGGAAATTTTACCAAAGTTGTATCCTCCTCTAACTGAATAGCTAATGGGTTGGGTTAAGAAGTGAAAGAAACAGACATTAACTTGGTTGTTCAGTAAGTATGGATTTCAGATTGCAATGCTTCTATTACCTTGGTTCCCAAAACACAGCCAGAGAAGCAAAAAGAGTGAAGACCTGGAATTCAAATTGTGTCCTATCACGCCTCTCACAAAAAGTTTATGGATGAGTAGGACAAGCCAAGCCTGACCAAAGATTAGAGTTGAAAATCTGCTGAGATGTTTCTTGTGGAAAATGCCCAATGTAAAGGACGTAAAATTTGTTTAGTATTTTCATCAATCCTCAGTATCATACAAAGAAGAATTCTTCTGGTCAGTTCAAGATCTTCCTTATACAGAGGTTATGAACAGTTACTTAGCAATCAAATAGGAATTACATCATTTTTTTTCACAGCCTACATATCATTTAGGACATAATCATATATGTCAACAAGGTTGCAAAGTCTACATATAAAAAAGAAGCTCTTAGACAGTATTTGTCCTTATGGGACTGAGTTAGTTCACTTAATCCTCTCTAGTCAGAATGTGTATGAAGATACAAGGTGGGGGAGAGCAGAGGAGTGAGGATGGGTGGAGGAGAGGGTGGTGGTGACAATCATAGGGTCACACAATTTAATGCGGGGGGGGAGGGTTTGTGTGAAGGAAATGGGAAAGACAAGGTGTGAAAAACAAACAATGTACACAAACTTTTTAAATAAACAAGTATAACAAAAAAAAATCCACAGATTTGAAAGGCCATGCCTTTCCCTGTATTGCTTTGAAGCGTGTAATATTTGCTTATTGAATCAAATGAAGTGGTCTGGGAAGATTTTTTTTAAGATGTTCTTTTGCTAAAACAAAACCAAAAGGTTAACAGTCATTATTAGGAGAGATTTAAAAATGTCTTCATATATGCTATTAAAGCTCATTTTGAAATAGGAACTGAAAACTTCCTTTCATTTGATTATCAAATGCTCAAGAATAAACATAAAAATAAGCATTCTTGAGATCATGGTTAATATTCAAGCAACATAATTCATCGAAATAAAAAAATCTGTCTCAAGTACGTATTGATGACCATCAGTACTTGCCTAGACTATGTGTGTGTACATAAGCGCACAGAAATAAATACACGCCTACAGCACAGCAAGTTCTCTCTCTAAACCATGACATGCAGCTTGAAGCACAATTCTAAATTCAATCCCGGGTGCGAGATCTAAGAACTCATTCTGCGGGGACAAGATAATCCCGTTGTTGGTTTTGGGTGTGGTTTTATTTAAAAAAAAAAAAAGAAAAAACAAAAACCACTAAGTAAAATGGGTCCAATCAGGAAAAGAGGTGCAAACAGCAACAGAAAGCAGCCACTGTGGCACTTCCCTTGCCCTCTGGGGCTCACCTTCCCAAAGGAGAGCTGCCAGGAGAGGAGGACCAGTCTACATTCACAGGACGGTTAAGCGCGCTGACTCCTAGTGCCACTCTTTACCCTGAAAACGCTCTTTGGGCATTTTTTTTACTCACTTCAAATATTTAGTCCTATATTTTTAAGTACAGTAAAAAACAAATTCACATACATCACCTTTTATATTTACCAAAAGCATGGAAACGCTAAGATACCTTTTCATACTGAAATTCATAAAATTTTTAGTGTAAGGAAATCTTTGCAGGAAACATTGACCCTATAATTCAAGAAAATACTCATTATTTTCTTCCTTCTTGTTATGTGCTGTTGAGTCATTTGGGACTCATAGTGACCCTAAGTACAACAGCTCTGAACCCTGCTCTATCTTTTCTGCCTTACTCTAGCAAACAGTGAAATCTTTCATTTCCCAAATATATATTTTCCTTATTATCTCGTTACTGAAATGCCGAATTGTGTGAAGCTCAGTGAACAAAAGGTTAACATGGTATTTCCTGATGCGCACCCAACTCCTCTTAAAGCATTTCTCAAAGCGTCCATTGTACAGTCCAGAGTCTCCGAAGTCCAGTAATTAGGCAATATGTGGAGATTACATTGCCATCAAGTCAACTGCTACTCATAGCAAAACTAAAGAATAGGTCAGAACTGCTCCAGAGTGTCCAAGTGGTGTGTTCACACTGTCAACCTTTCTGGCTAACAACAAAAGGGCTCAACTGCGAAGCCACCAGAACTCCTTCCTATTGTTCTTGCTATATTCCATCAAGTTGGAAATGACTCACAGCTGACCCTCCAGCAGGTTTTCAGAGGCTGTAAATCGCAAGGAGGAGTCCAGTCATCTTTCTCCTGAGGAAGTGAATTTTAATTACATGCCTTTGGATTGGAAGCACAACTCCTTATCCACCAGGCCACCAGAGCTCCAGATAATGTATGTCAGAAAATCTTTTGCTAGTATTGCTTTGGTGATAATATATACTGCTCTCCAAAGACTTTCTACTTTATAGGGAAAATAAATCCCTCTTAATATTAAGCTTCATATACTACTGATATAGACGGCAGGGGAAAAATCTGGCTGTATAAAACTGCACCAATGAATGATTTTTAAATAGTAAATAAAAATTTTCTCATACTTTGAAATACAATTCTTTTAAACAGAGTAATCTATAAACCACTACATACCTGTAATTTTATCTCTTACAAGCTTACAGGACTCTATCTCACCAATGCTCCCAAAAAGACTCTTGAGTTCCTCCTGTGTCATGTTCTGAGGAAGATAGTTGACTATTAAGTTGGTCTTGCTGTCCTCTGTGTTTCCAGAGTCGACTGGTGATGAGCAATTGTTGTTTATGGTGGTTGGACCATTGGCTGTGTTATTGCAAGTTGGCCCATTAGACAGTTGTGTTTCCATGGCAGCAATTACCTGCTAAAAACAGAGAAAATAAGAAATGTCAGAATTCATATTTCACAACCTATTAGAGATTTCATCTAAGAACTTAAATACTTGTCACTAAACACAGGTCGTTCTGCTGAAATTACAATAATGCTACAATAAAAAGTACAACACCTACGCTAATTGTTATACTTCATATCAGCTATCCAACATTAGGTTACAATTATGTGCTTTTACATCCAGATTTCACACATGCAGCTTAGCAGACTATAAATCTTAACCACTTTTCTATAATCACATTCTGAATCTATTCACATAGATTCTTAACTCACCTGTAGTGTCCAGTCTTGAGGAAATTTAGTACATCAAAGGGCACAGAATTGAATGCTGACTTACGTATATTTTCTAAAATACTAGAAAACAGATGTGCTTAACATGCTACCAAAGTTATCTATATAACTTCGAAGAGATCTTTTCAGTTGGCTAGTGATTCAATTTCCTCAAACTGACACACATCCAAGAACTTAAAATCAAGAAGTGTACTTTAAAAAATATAAATTGTCAACATGTACTGTTTTGGTTACATAATGAAAATGTTTTTGATTAACAAGAACTTGTACCTCTACCACTGGTATAGGATCCCTGGTGGCAGAGGTTAAAAAGCTTGACTGCTAATCAGAGAGTTTGGAGATTTGAACCCATCAGTTGCTCTGCTTGAGAAAGATGTGGCCATTTGCTTCCATAAATATTACAGTATTGGAAACCTTATGGGGCAGTTCTACTCTGTTACTTACAAAAACATTGGCTGTTATATACTAGAGATGAAAGGGATTTATAGGATATCTTGGCAATGAAGCTATGACTACGTTGTCTATTTCATAGACTCCAGTAAGTCATTCTTGTCAACCTTGACAGCTAAAGACCACCCTTTCATTTGGCAACTGGTCTACAACATCAAAATAAAACCCCAAAACAATCTGACAGGGCATTCTGCCTTAAATCTGAATAAAGAAAAACCTATCCAGCCCACCAAAACAACAATGAAAGTAAATATATCAACTTTTGCAAACAGACCAGTGCCCAACGAATTTTCATCTGAGCACATAAGCCTGTTGAAAATGCAAGGAAATCTGATAAAAACGCCAAATACCGAATAACTAGCAGAATTGGGTAAAAAGCCCCCAAACTGTTTCAACTACTCTAAAAATCTATTAAATAATTTTCCATCTAGTTTTCTGCCATCCTTTACATTTTGAGAAGAGTCACAAACCACAGTCCCCAAACATTTTCATTAACTTTCTACTATGGGCAACCAAGGCTTTGAGGGAATACAAAAATTAAAAGATTAATCAACAAAACGTCTACAAAGTAACTGTCCTTTCTATTTTATCAATTCCCTCTGTCATCTCCACAAAGAAGGACTCTGCAAAGAAAAGTGACAATTTTAAATTTCTTGGATTCTAGTTTTCAGGGAATTTTTGGCACACAAAAGGCAAGGAACATGAAACAAAAGGAAAGAGCAAAGTGGAGAGAAAGAGGATTATATGCAAAGAGAAAAATACTTTGTGGTGTTTTGGGTTTTTTTTAAAAAAAAAAGGTAAAAGGGCATAATTAATAGGAAGAAATTTCTACTGCCAATAGGCGTTTATAAAAGATGTGGCAGCAGTGGACAACTGAGACGGGGTAGACTGGTCAGAAATCTATGCTACCAGGACTTACACAAAAACAGGAATCAATATTCAGTCTATGCCTCAAAACACGCAATTCATAATTCCAATGACTTCATTTCTTTTTCAAAGAAATCATTTCTCTGCAAGCTACTTCTAAAAAGGGTGATTAAAAAAAAATTCAAGATACGAGTTTTACTGTAATTAATAACCTTCTTGAAACTGAGAACAGCGGTTTCATATTTTCTAATTAAACTTAACTCTTTCAGTTCGTGGGTTATATTAGCTGCAGATCAATCCTCCCCCAGCAAAATTCATGAGGGGCGAAACTTTGACCAGTAGTTAGGAAAATAAGCTACAAGAGGGTGGCGGCCAAGGCCAATTAAAGTAAATCACGATTCAAAAGTTTAGAGTCTGTGGAGAAACCATGAGCCCAAATGTGAGGTGTGGGCCAACACTCACTGGGATGGCATGTGACACAGAAAGTGTTCACTGACTGAAATTAGCAGGATTTAGCAAGGACAACAAACACTCCTCACTTAATTGCACATTTATTTATTTCCGTGTTCAGGTGGCAAGAATGAGCTTCTAAACCAACATTCAAGTGAACAGCTGCAGTAGGCTGTGTGCACTGAAATTACAGCATCTCTCTGCTACAGGACCATCTGCTCTGAATAAAATGATACTAATGTGCTATATTTTACAAATAATGCATATTCCATTGATAGGCTCAACACAACTGTTCACAGAATGCAAACTCTTTCAACACTTACTGGGCAAATAATTTTCAGCCAGATTTACAGTTTCAACATTTTTTTTAATTAGTTTTGCTTGTTTGTGTTTTTTTATAGTATCAGGAATTGTAAATGACTTTAAAATTTAGTAACCAAAAAAATACATAGTAAACAGAATGTAAAGAACTATGGTAACTTAGTATTTAGACCATACCAAAACTTTTTTGATTTTTTTTTTTTAAAAAAGCTTGTCACTCTTTTGAGTCTGCACTACATCCTAATTCAGATTAGAAAAAGGTGCATACGAGAGCATGGTTCCGATGCAACAGATACCTCGGTAAGTTAAAATTGCAATGTGCTTTGAGTCCTAATGACAGCCATACCGCAGATAGATTAAGTGCAAGAATAAAATCGGGTGCCAAATGAGAAGGTCAAGTGTTTGGTATGGCCTCAGCACTCCTGCAACATGCTAAAAAGTAGCCTACAGAATTTAAGAAAAATCCCACAGACCCCGGTCCAAGGCTCTGCTGCCCACGAACCACTTCTAAGCAGAGAAGCCACATCACACAGTCTGACTGCCATGTTAGTTTGGAGTTGCCGTCTGCAATATGGACACAAAAAGTACCGTATGTTAGATGAGCAAGATAATGCAACAAATCAGTTTGTACAAAATTTACAATGATCGTATTGATATTCCCAGCACGTCCATGCAGTGTGGCTTAATTGAATTTGAGGCAATTCCAATCTAATCTTTCCAAAATCATCTTAACATGTCGTTTTCTTGCACAAATGTAAGCATTTTTAATTAAGAGCCCAGTTTTAAAACAATATTAACTAGTTATCTTGGCATCTTTCCTGAAGAACTACCTTCAACATCTCAAAAAAAATTCTTTTTTTTAAAATTAAAACTGAAGCAAAGTACTACTGCATGCTGTCCCTGTCTTGTAAGGATATGAAGAAGGGAAGAAATGTGAATGGAATTTTAGAGTGAGAAAAGGCGGTCATGCAATTTATAAATGACTATTTCTCTAAAAGCATTCCCCTTCACCCCAAAAAAATATCAAAAAGACCATTAAGAGAAGCTATAGTTGCCCACATTATTACATTATCCTACGCATAATCCTTAATCCTGGGACTTAAAATTAAAAGTGAATATAGACCCTGTGAGGTTATACTGCCACTATAGTCAAACTGATTTCTAACAGTTTTACTGAGAATTGCTCACATACACTAAAAGGCAGTAAACCAGCATCTTTCAATTGAAATAAATTGGACCAATAAATAGGATTGTTTGGAGTAATGCTTGTATAGGATGTCAGCTTTGTCCCTGAACGAAATCAAGTGAACATTTCTTAATATGTAAATTGTAAACCCAGCACGATTTGAAATTAGTGCTGCTATGAGGCCTCCAACATAGTTAATGGGCCATTTCCACATGCTACAACTTGCCCAAATACGAAACAGAACCACAGTATGGGCACAAAAGCCAAAGTTTACTCTTTCAGCCATATATGCAGCTGCTTTAAATGGTTGGTATCAGAATAATAAAACTTAAGTCACTGAAAACAGATAGTGATTAACAAAGGAAAACGGAAAATGTATTTTAATCACATATTAAAGTTTCACCATTGAGAGTTAAACCTGTTAATCCTTAATCAGTCCTTAAATGTTAAGCCTGGCTAATTTAACTCTTGGTGTGAGTGATGGTACTAATCACATGCAACCATGAGTTCCATTTTTCTGGCATTTACCAAACAATCTTTATGAGATGCCATGAAAATGTTATAGTCTTCTTCCCTCCTCCCACCATGACCAGAGAATAGTCTATGTCTATTTTCTTTTTCCCCTAAAACTATTTAAAGTCCAATGTTTGAAAAAAGGTGTATTTTGACAAAGTCTGCCCGTTTTGGTTAGAATACTTAAAGCAGAATAGATGAGAAGACCGCGCCCAACAAGTTAAACCGAGATTACTGTCCTGAGCCCCTCAGAAGTTGGTCGCTGAACATTCCTCACTAACATAAAGGCACAGATTCAAATTTAATAGCCTCAAATCCTTCTACTTCATTGGAGAAGAAAACTAATGAGCTGATATATTGACACTCCTTCCTGGAAGCCCCTGGGATGTGCACACTTTATTGTACCAACTAGCTAGAAGGCCAGGTATGGAAGAGAAAGGATTCTACTGCACTTTTACATTTCCGCATCCCAGACAATCTCTCTCTGCTTGAGGCACACACATACCTTTGGAGGTGGTTATAAATAAGTTGTTCACATGACCCTTACCTTTATGCTGGCCAACAATTCAGTTACTAAAAATGCAAAGCTACTTCCCCTTCACTTAAGGACAGGCGATTCTGCTCTACTCAATCCACCACAGACAAGCAGGCTGTGCACTATTTATAGATTCAATTGGCTCTGCAACTCTTTGGAAGCAAAAAAAAGGCCCTATTCCAGCAACATGGAGCCATTAATTTTAAGGTTTATAGAAATAATGTTTCAATGTATGTTTGCTTCTTAATTCTGGCATCAATTGTACAAATGCATACTGGTTTTCCTTTTGTTATTCTCCACATAATAATGTCTGAAAAGGTACATTGGCATAGATAGATTAATCTAGGATATTCTAAACATT